ACATTTTATAGACCAAACGATTCACTGATAAAGTAATGATGGTTATTTGCTGTTTGCTCCTATAGTTAATCGTCTTCTAGCTCTAGTTTTGGACTCCACAGATTCCTGGAGACATTGTCCACCCATCTCAGGTCTGCTAACTCAAATCCTAACAAATACTGACCAATTCCTAACAAATCCTAACAAATACTGACGCAATTCCTAACAAACATCCCCTAACAAATTACTGAACCAATTCGCTAACAAAATCCCTAACCAAATACTGACCAATTTGCCTAAACAAATACTACAAAGTTACTGAACGCAATTCCTAACAAATAGCTGAACAAATACTGACCAATTCCTAACAAATCCTAACAATTTACCTACCAAGTCCTAACAGTCACGTGACAACAACAGTAACGCCCCTTTTGATAGCATGCATGTATAAACTAAACAGCGAGCAACCGCTTTCACATCAGGACAACAACTCCGTTAGAATAGCAGAAAATCTGTAATGAATTTTTCAATATTTTTTTCATCCACTGCTACAAAAACCTCCTCCTCCGCCACCGGCCCCATCCCTGAGTGTGTTTGTGTCTGAATGTGAAGTGTATCTTTTTTTTATTATTTATAAGTGAATATGTGAAAAATGTGTTCAGTCAATAGATCCTCCTAAATGTTCAGAACGTTTAAATATTGCATGCATATGCACATACACTTGGTAAATATTGGCATGCAGTGTATTGGGTATATGAGGTATAATCTAGGCTTTTAAAAACATCAGCACCTCAGGACAATTAATGTTTCATTTTAGTTTAAATGTTTTGGGAAATGTGTTCTCACCAGTTGAAGCCAAGTAGAGGAATACTAGAAACTAAAACTACAGTTTTCAGCACCCAGAACAGTAATCTATCTCTGTAGAATACATTATTGTACTTTTACTGTAAATTACAGGATAATACAGTCATTATTTTACAGTAATATAGGTGACAGTCACAGTAATCAGTCTTAATATTTCTGTAAAGATTACAATATATTGTAATAATTCACAACATCAGCCTGCAATATTCAAATAATTACCCATCATGCATTGCCAAAACATCACTACAGTCGTTTATTATCAGGATTTATTGTGAAAACCTGGTGATTGTTAACAGTGTCGTATGTAACAGTGTGTGTGTGTGTCTCAGACTTTTGACATCAGCTTGCCATCACAGTTTACAGTATTGAGTATTACTGAACCCTAACCCTAACCCTAACCCTAACCACATCTGGTGGTTGTGTGTAGATACAACGTCTGAGAGACCATGATAAATGTGGTGCCATTTGGCCAATAGGTGGCGCTGCAGCAGCATCATCTAGCTCTAAAGGAAGGACTCCGTATGAAGACGCACTGTCGAGCTTCAGGAAAGGATTTTTCACTGCTTCCAGGCAAAGTAAGGATGGTTATTTGCTGATTGCTCCTATACTTACCCGTCTTCTAGCTCTGGTTTTGGTCTCCACCAACTCCTGAAGACATTGTCCACCCACTCAGGGCTGTGATGGCCGAGTGGTTAAGGCGTTGGACTTGAAATCCAATGGGGTTTCCCCGCGCAGGTTCGAACCCTGCTCGCAGCGTCTGATTGGTTGTTTTTACTGATTAACTAAAGAAAACATCGACTCTGTCCTGAACAAATGAAGCTAAAAAAGCAACTTCCTGCTGTCCTGAGCTAACGTCCTGTTCAACTACAAACGTCCAGCTCTTCTATTCTTTATCGGACTGAATGGATCAAACTGAAAAACATTTCTAACCGTTTTACAGCCGCTTCTGTCACAATGTGAGTCTTACTGGGCCAGCGTGCATCACGACGGACGCCATC